AAAAAATGTCCTCCAAAGAGGCTGGCATGGAATCGACTCCGTTGTCCGCCGTTCAGAAGCCGGCTAAAAAACAGTGTAAAGTGGACGACATCTTGCTGAAGATAACCAGTCGACAGAGCAGTAAATACCTGCAGACGAAGCAAGGGAAGGAGAAGAAGTTGTCGGAGCAGAGTCAACAGTACAACGGGGGCAAAGAGGAAAGTAAGGAGGTCGTTAAAGCTTCGCCGGTATCGAGGCGCGGCCGAGCGAAGGCCGAGAAGGACGCTTTGAAGATGCCGCAGTTGAAGCCCGAGACGATTCGCGCGGAGGAGAGGCCGGATAGCCCCGTCGCGGTGGCACCTCCTCCAGCCCTGTCCCCGTCGCCGGACTCCGACAAGACGGAACCTCCCGCGATCAGCGAACAACCCTGTGCGTCGGAGTCGACCTCCAGCAAGGAGCAGGAAACGGTGGAAACTAAGAGCGACCCCACCGTGGACAACGGCGATGCTAGTCGGACAACCGCCGTCGTTGTTCCACCGGAGGCGGAGGTGATCTCCGCTAGTCCCGGGGAGTACGAGGGAGGAGACGAAGACGAAGGGGAAGAAGAAGTACCTGCACCGAGACCGAAATCCGTGACGCGGTGTTCGAGCGCCACCGCGGACATCGACTCGAGCGAACGAGTCGCGAAGCCGGAGGAGAAACCTGACGAAGAACCGAAAGAGGACGACGGTAAACCTTTCGTGCGAAGAGCGGAGTCCGAGTCGGAGTCGGAATCCCAGTCGCAAACGCAGGTTGCCGAGGATCGGAACGAGGAAGTCGCGAAAGAGCGCGATAAAGATTTAGAGACTGAACAAGCAATTTGTACACCGGATACGTTGAAATTGGTACCTGACGTTCCTTCGCCCAAGCGCGAAGAAAACGAAAAATTAAAAGTTATCGCCGAGGATAAGGACGAGGATAGTTGTAAGGAAGACCCGATGCCCGATCGGTTAGCGTTAAAGGATTCGAGGGAAGATTTCAAGGAGGAGTCACAGACGCAGTTGGAAGTTTGTCAAACTACTCCTGTGGAAAAGAAAGAGTCGATTGTTGTTTCAGACATTGCTTCGCCTGAAGCGGAGCCACGCACGCCGCAGGAGAAGGTTCTTCCCGTCGTCGAGGTTCAACAACACCAGCAACAGCAGCAGCAGCAGCAACAACAGCAGCAGCAACAACAGCAGCAACAGCAACAACAACAGCAGCCGCAGCCACAACCACAGCCTCAACAGGAGAATTTGCACGTTCAAACTCAATCGGAAGAGTTGAAACAGAATTCTCCCGAGAGCGGTAAAACGACGCCACATTTGGAGAATCCTGGCTCTGTGAAACGCACGCCTCCTTCGCAACCGGACCTACCCTCGATGGGAGTGTACACGCCCGATTCGACCACGAACTCGGTGCACTCGTTGCATTACGGTCACTGCGATTTGGACGTAAGTCAGCTGGGGTTAGAATCTCCTACTTCGATCGCGAGCGATCTCGCGTCGCAGAACAGCGTCGAGAGGCCACCGAGCGCTCTGCCCTCGATGCCCGCATCGGCGACGGTCCCGCCCTCCGTGTCCATGCAAATAGCGACACCGGTCACTTCCGTGGCCGTGAATATATCACCGCAAGTACAATACTCGGATTGCTCGATACCACAACACGCGCAACCGGCGCATGTCGGTATGCATCCGATGCAGCACCAGCCTCATACGCCGCAGCCTCTTCAGCAGCCTCGAACGCCGCAGTCGCACACACCTCAGAGTATACCGACGCAGAGTCCTCAACCTCTTCCACAAAGTCACACACCACAACCGTTGCCTCAGTCTCACACTCCTCAACCTATTCCCCAGTCCCACACGCCTCAGAGTATACCCACGCAGAGTCCACAACCGATGCCTCAAAGTCGCACCCCGCAACCTTTACCCCAATCCCATACGCCCCAACCGATACAGTTGTCTCTGACTCAGCAACCACAAACCCAAAACATACCGCACGGTCAGTCTCAACAATCTCAATCTCAACAGCAGCAGCAGCAACAGCAACAACAGCAGCAGCAGTCCCAGACGCAGTCTCACGGCACCAAGAGAGCCAGTGGCTCTCAAACCAGCCACAGGTCAAGGTCGACGCAGCAGAGCAGCAGGTCGCATCGAAGCACGCCTCCCGTGTCTCACGCTCAAGCCTCTTCTCAGCATTCGAGCTCTCACAGCAGTCACGCGAGCTCTCACACCAGCCACTCCAGCG